CACGTAAGATCTTATACGTTAGACAGTTATATCATGACAAACCTATAATTTTAGGATTAGGTCTATTATTAGAGCAGTACTTATATCATGGTAGACCATAATTCTACAGGTCTTCACAATCTAGTCGACCGCCAGAATAAAGAGAAAAGACGATAGTACGAAGCCTTGTCTGACATCGGTCCTTAATTGAAATGCATCTGTAAGGTGTCCTCCATACACTACTTTGCAGTGTAGTTCGTCGTGTGAATTCCGGATGATGTCGACGATTTTCTCAAGTTCACTGTAGTGTTGGAGAAGTTTCCATAAGGTTCTCCTATCCACTCCGTCCAACGCCTTCTCATAGTCAAGGAATTTGATGTATAGTGACGAGTTCAATTCAATTGATTGTTCAACGATGATGCGTAGTGTCGCGATTCGGTCTGTGCACAACCGGTCCTTACGGAATCCGACCTGTAGATCTTGAAGCTGGATGTTTACTGAACCTTTATTCGGTTCAGCGACACTCTTTGGACGACGTTTTCTGGTGCTTCTGTAGCTGAGCCCACACATTTGTTCAAATCTCTTTATTTTGATATATTGATGTGCTGCTTCCGCCTCTAGTTGGTTTGTTAACTTATGGTCTAGTTCGGTGTTAGTACATTGATCTTTGATACTATAATAATGGACCTAACTCTGAAATTGTAGATTTTTCATATGGCTACTTAATCCATAATATCTTATGTGAAAGGTCCATTATTTTCTACACCGACTAGTCAAATGATGGCAATCAGAGGTATGAAGTTTAGTAATTACGAGGAAAATATTTCGGGATGGGTATAGTGTAATATATTCAGTGTAAAATACAGTAAGGATTTTAGAATGACCGTGTCTGAATAGCCGAGGCACACCTTCTCGAATCGTTGTTTCGGTGTTCGCCATTCACGATCTCCTCCAAGTGTTAAAATTTGAGTATTTAGTAATTATATATTCAGCTTTGAGAATCGTGCTATTAAAACCCAATACCACTACAGGTTCGGAATGTCTCTAACAATCTGTTCCTCTGTTCTTGAATCTCAATAAGTATCTTTCCTTCTTTTTCCTGACTGGTCTCTCTGCTTTACCATATTTCTCTAACAGTTCCTTCGTTGTGTCATATATTCGCTCCGTCCTTCCTTCTAGTGCACCCTTGTTCTCTGTCATTTCTAGATCACCCACGTACTCCTGCTTGTTAGCTCTAATGCACCTCTCATTTGTTTGCTTGATTGTTTGCATTCAGTTTGTTTCTTGACCCCTTATGCTCTTATACGTCTGTTGTTAATTGCTGTATTTTTGTTCATTCTTTCGTAAATCTTGTCCAGATTTTCGATAGAGATCCACTCCTTATGATGATGCTTGTTGCGGCTCAGCACTTCCTGACATGTTGAAGTTGGTGCTCTTTAATCCCTTTACAGTTTTACACCATAATAGTTTACTATTCTACAAGTACGCCTTGTAATATTTGGAATCTGTTGTTGAGAGTTACCTTGGATTGGTTGAGTTTGCCAGTAGGTCAAAGACGTATGTGTTGAACCTGTGTAATGCTATTTCGCTTACAGTATAGAGCGTTTGAGCCTCAGTTTCATCTTTGCAACTACCACGTAATGACCTGAATCTGTGTTAACTCCTCTGTTTGTTCTCACGTCCTCCATGGATATTCCGAAATTTTACTTGTGCAAATATGATCGATGTGGTTTTCCTTATTGCGATCCGATGAGACTCGTTTTGGTTTTGTGCATGTGTTTACTGGATTCTTTCCTAAAAACCTATTTAAGATCGACTGCGATCTCTCATAAAACATATTTATTGTGTTCACTTTCACCCTTGATGAATGCAGGAATTGTACCTCTCTGGTTTAGTTCTGTTTTGACTCTCTACATCTCACTTATCCCACCTGTAGTATAGTCCTTACCCAACTCCTACATATATAAGACCTTGGAGATAAAGTATCTAAGGTGAGAAATTAAAATAAAAAACTGGAATATCGAGGAAACTACTTCTCTATCCAATAAGTACTGATATGGATCGGTCTTCCCTTCAAAATTCTCACGGCTAATGTATCACATACGTTTTTAGGAATATTAGATGACGTCCTCGCTTGAAATGGTTTCAATGCATGATCAAATATATCTACACCTTACTCAGATATCATAGGCTTCCAACACGCGTAATTCATATCGCAATTAGAGTTTAGTTTCCTTTCATCTTCACTTCTGAAGCTCTATTAAATATTTCCCCGTGGCTACATGGATATCACTAATTTTTAATTGAAGCCGAAAGCAAACTCAACGAATCTAACGACACTACCGAACTACAGTTAGATGCAAGAGATGCTCTCTATGTCCTAAAAAGTGATCGCTTGAACAACACAAATCTCTTCCGTACTCCAAGTAGTCTTGGGTCTGTAGAGCTTGTAAGCCATCACCCATTAATGATGACACAATAAAAAGTGAACACAACCTTATATTTATTTCTTCTAGTCGATTTTTCATCAGCTCATTACTTTCACACATACTTTACTGTAGCGCCGTTAATTTTGAAACATTACTCGTTGCCTCATCCATAACTGATATATCACCACTTTTTCCCCACTACATGGACAAATATTTGTCTGCCGTTATACTTTTCCAAATGTAATAAATGTTTTTTTTAAAAAAAACGCAATATACCACAGTAATTTAAAGCATTGCATCTAACCCTTACACACAGTCCAAATTTGAAAACGTCTATTAGGCTTGTAAAAAATACTCGTAGAAGTAGTGTCATCCGACAGAACCAAAAACATAGGGCATAGAGTAGGACATAGTAGTATGAGTAATTTTTCCGCATCCAGTTTGAGGGCAAGTTCAAAATGCCACAAACGTTGCAGGGTTCATCATAATGAGCCACTCAGGTTGATACGTGATATGACATAGAAACAGGGGGGTAGATTTCGCTACATAAGAATATAAATAATTTTATGAGTAATCATAATAAACAGCATGCACGAGTCATTGTTAAGGGCGGAAACAATAATTTGCTACGCGGATTAATAGATAAGATATTACCAAAGCAACGTTACTGAACAGACAGGAGAAATGAGAAATTTAGACAGAATATTGGTGCAGAAAAACGAGCAAGTTAAGATGCAGGTTTGGTGTTGGCACTGCATCAAGAGTCAATAGTTGTTAAAATTTGTTTAAAAATGGTTCATTGTACGAACTTCAAAAAACACTCATGCACCACAAATTCCATCTTTACGTGTTACATTCTTGGCGCCGAAAAGAAGGAAAGGAAAATAAGCAGCAAAACGAGAAACAAAATACAGTTGATAAGCTCAGTGTTTTTAAATTTTTGAGATGGGAGGGGTTAAATATGACTATTGGCAGGCGGAACGCAAACTGATCGATAAAGGAACTTCACATAAATCATATGAATTAAACAAAGAGTGTAAAAAATTTTAAAGGCAAAACAGGTCTTAGGGGAAGGTTGAAGAGCAAGGCTAGACAAATGTTTATTGATCCCGGAAAACTAACAGTGGTTTAAATTGTCTGAATCTCCATATGACTTCATCACAATAGTCTTTGTATATTGATTACCCGTTTTTATTGTTATTGTTGGATGACGATTGTCAGGTCTGTGTTTTGGTGTCTGAAAATGTGTGTGATATGTTGACTTGGCAGAAAAGGTAAACCGATAAAAGGTAGAAAACGTAAATCGAAGAAGCAGCAAACATAGAAGGACAACCTCAGTATCTTCGAACGGTTGTTGCGTTACCGATTATAAAGAGCGAAGTCAACTAAAATATTCTGCTACACAAACGTAGATGGATTGAAATTATCACCTTAACCATCAACGTTTGCTAGTTAGTAACTCTACCCTCACTCCTATCTAAAAGTAACCTTTAAAGTTTTACACCAAAAAAGAAAAGAGAGTGTAGTTACTGATCAGCAAGCATTTGTGTTGAGGAAGATTACTTCAATCTACTCATATTTGTGGGGCAGAACGCTTTGTTTTTTGAAGCTCTTTATGATTGGGGATGTAACAATCAGTTTATATCAAAAGCTTTTTAATTATTACCCAGAACAGTGATCGCAGATTATCGCTGCAGAAGCATCTGACGTAAACCTCAAGTTCGCAGAGACATTCGTAGACCTAGAGTGGAGAATATTTCCGTGAAACATTCTGGTTTAAGCAAATCGAAATTCAATACTGCCCGGCAAATTATGAATAGTGATAGAGAAATTTTTGCGAAACAATATGCAGGGATGGTATTGAATACAAAAAAGTATGTACAAGCTAAGCTGAACTTACATGAACAGTGTTTTTCCGCTAAGTACAGTTCTCATGACAACAGCAAGCCTGTAAGATCAACTGTAAAATAAAGAGTAACTAAAATAAAGAATTTTTCTTCGCCATCAGTTAAATGATACCTAGCGACTCAGGAATTACTTGCTGTCGAAAAGGTAAAATTATCACCTGTCAAATGGCCCCAGAGCAAGAATTTGACTGCATATAACAATGGATGTTCCTAGCGATTAAGAAATAAAATATTTCTCCCAATAAAAATAGGTTATGCCAATTAAGCCAAATGACATCATCCAAGATTAAGATCACTCAATACAGAGGACTCTAGAAACCAAAATGTCGTTATAAAAAATGTAGGAGGCCTGCAAGTTAGTAAGGTTTTAGGAAACTTTGTCTCAGTACTCGAGATTGACGGACATTTGGGATATGGCCTTACGACAAAGTAATCTTCATGAGTAGCTCACTCAAATCAGAAACCCTGTTCATTAGCACTGAAGAAGGCTGAAGCTAACTGTTCATACTCATCGGTGATCAAACTTATTACATTCAAAACACTGGTACAAAATACAATTGAAATTCTTATGTTCACAGCCGGATTGCATAAAAGCTTGTTTGTTATTTTCACGAATGCAGTTACCACGACTTCAGTGTCGGTGGGAATACAAATCGCCATTATGTTTGTTGAAAACTAAGATAAAATGGTAAGTCATCAAACATATACCACAAGTCAAATCCCTACCTCATTTAATTAAGCAAATTAGTTCATATTTTTATTTGGCAGTTTGTAAGTTTGATTTTGAAACTATTATGGAGTTAAGAAATAAAGAACCCAAGCTCTCAACTTTAGGGAAATTTTGAGAGTTAAGTGCCATCTCCTTAAATTTTACTATAGCGGCTTCCCCAAACTGGGTCAAATTTTCCCCGAAACTGGGAGCTTGGGAAACTGATATAACTGAATGTCATAAAAAGTTTTAACTTCACCTATATATTAAAGCAAGCCCAACTACGTCATATGATAAGAAAAGTGTTGTATTATGTGAAAGTCGGTGCAAACCTGCACTACATTCTCAGTATGCAGAATAATCTCATAAGATCCTGTGTACGTCCTTGAGAAGTGCTGGACCCGCTGCTCCAGACAAGTCCTTTTTACAGATGTTTCACGGTTCATTGCCTGTCAACTACAGTGTTTAGATACTTCACTGTGGTATTAAATTTTAACAGTGATGTCTCTCAAGAAAACGGCTGATACTTTTCAATATCAATTTTAACAGGTGTTTGAAACTATAAGATAAATAAGTGACGTCGTAAAAACAACATAGGAACCCAGGCATCCAACTTTGGAGAACTTTAGGGGTTTTTGTGCCATTTCCCCAAAGTTTACTATAGCGGCTTCCCCAAAATGGGTCGAATTTTCCCCACAGTTGGGAGCTTGGAAAAATAAGACCGTAACGCTTTGATTTTCTTACCGGACTGTATCAAACAGTGAGTAAGCCTGTGTAAACATAGGTTTCCCTTGTAGAAACAAATGGCATTCACTAAAATAACCCAAAGAAACTACAAAGAAATTTGAGTTTCTCCAACAGATGTTATTTTCATGGTTTTTTCATATATATTCGCATGAAAATATCAATGAAATGCCGTAAGTGTGTAGTTGTAAATAAACCGTCAAAATAAATAGCTCTGTAAATTGTCGACATCTGATGCCGACCCCGTTAGTTTCACTGGACTCATCTAGCTGAAGGCACTCGGTCGCGCATCCATACCAGATCACGAGTGGGTACGTCGTGCTTCACATCTCATACAACCGCTAGCCAGCTTAGATTGATCACTTATTGATATATCGGTAGTCTATCATATATATCTTCGAACCTCTTCACTTACGACTTTTCATTTGACTGGATTGACACGTTTTGATTAGAAAAGGTGTTACTGGTTAAGGCGCTGTCAAAATCCAAATATTTGTAGAATCTTTAGGTGTGTAGGACAAAAACATCATGACGATAAACTTGTTTGAAAAACTACTAGAATAACAGAGTTATATCACATTATGTACAAGCATATACATACATATTGCTTTTAGATGAAATGTTTGGAATCGAACTGATATACAGAAGCCAATCCACTCCATTTATATATCAGGTTAATACTAGCCCTAGTAATGGTTTGAAAGAAGCAAGAGAGGCCCATATATATTACTAATGTATTTGTAAGCAGTACTCATAACACTTAAATAACTACTTTGAGTCCTTAAAAAGTGGTGAAAATAAGTATTTCGTAATGTGCTTAAAAATCCAGCCACCATAAAAAATTTTCTATCAAAAGTGCTATGGATGATTTTGAACACATCTAATTTTGAAAAATTAACCAAATAAGAGGTGAAGAAATTTCCTTTTGGATTTTCTTAATGTGTTTTAACATTATGACTCTTGACAAGAAGTCTTATTTTCTTAAGTAAAGATCAAACTACCATGCGAAAATAAAGTTAGGTTCATTACAAATATAAAGGAAGGCTAGTTATCTATTAATAAATATACTTAGAATAAATGGATGTACAAGATACGAAAAATAGCCTCTCAGTTTATTGAAATTTTAGAGGTAAACTGGAACGCAGTCAAATCTAATAAATTAATTTATCACAATATTAGTTGACACAGGTCAGTAACATACAGATGGTATTCTGTGGATAGTTTTCCTGCCAAGTAGAAGAAACGCTTATTATCTTAAACAGAGACCAATTCGAAAAGTCATAAAATGATTGAAAACATCGCGAATGACATCAAAGTTACAAGGCAAGAATCACTAAACAAAATCCTAATCTCGGATCTCCTACAAAACAGAATAAACATAAAAGTTTAGGAAGTCGAATCGTACTGAATAAGTGCTGAATTATAACAATCACAAACCAACATTACACTATTTAAAATAACCTATGAGCACTGCACCACTATTAGGAAACGAAAAGTCGTAGAAACTAATGTTCCATAAAAATGAACACCTCAGTAACTTCATTAAAATTATATAACAAATTGGACCGGCATCACAAAGTCAACATCGGAAACTGATAGCTTTACCGTATTCTTACAACATCTCGGAAGTCATCACAAGGATTTTAGAACTGTTTCAAATCAGCGCTAGCCACAAAGGAGAGTAATTGTTTCACTTCAATTTGTCAACCAAAATAAAAAATTTAAAGAACACGAATGCAACGTCGTCTACAAATGAAATTGTACCGAATGTGATGAACACTACGCTAGATGAAGTGTAGATCCTCTTCACCTACACATGAAGAATGCTAGTCGTCAGTGAAACAATATAATATGATGTCACCGACTTCAAATCACGTTTTCGACCACGGGTATAAACCTGACTAGGAAAATTTTGAAACTAAATAAAAGGAATTCTAGAAACGTAGGATTCATATTAATCAAAACTCAACAGAAAATAGAGATGGACTATGTCTGTCAACCAGTGAAAAGAAGGCCAATCAGAAGCTTCATCGGAGGAGCGAGAAAGTGAACATAAATCCAAAGATGAACAAAAACAACCAATAAAAAACCAAGGTCATCAAAATTGACTGATACAATACTTGTGTAATAACTGGTTGTGTAGCATCATCCTACGATGTTGATCAACATTGCCTAGTGAATATATTACTCGAAATTATTTACACCACGAGTTTAAAAGACATCCGTGGTACGTGATTAGAGTAAAATTTAAGACAAAATACTTTGTTCTAAAGTGATAGTACAATATCAAGCAGTTTTCAGAAACACCAATATCCTCAATTTTTCATGACAAAACTTTTAGCTTGTTAAATGAGTGAAGTACAGGTGGTCAGGTGAAATCCTGGAGATTGAAATTAAAAGGTTATGATAGGATTTATTATTAACTGGATATACTAGACTACTCGTAATAATTTTAATTCGTAGTAAGCCAAATGCACATGATAGGGTCCATCGGTTGACAATAATCAAATTTGAACTATCTTCTTCAAACAAATGTATTTGTGCAAATTTTCATCAGTCAGTCAGTCAGTCAGTAACAACGTAGAACTTCGTACGTACGTACATCAGTTCGAGTTGCCACACCACATAAGCACAGAGGTGCAGTTGTCGATTCAAATCCCGTAGTGGTAAAGGTAATAAGAGTATAAGCAGTAATCGGGAAGATTAGGGTTTGGAGATGTTATTTAAAGAGTATAATCCAGTGAAATAAATTTGGAAAGAGGAAAAAAGGAACATGAAGAATTCAGAAGATTAGAATTTCGGAGAACACAGAGAGTGGATGCACCTGCGCCATTGCAAACGATTTTGAGCCATGTCATTCAGGGTCTCTAACAATCGGTTGCTATCACCTCGCGGTCCCCAACCAGGTAGTCTGCACCTACCAACATGACTCAGTCCACTTGTCAGTGACTTCATTGACTTGTGCCATGTTTTTGGTTTGGCCGCCCCTAGCTTTCTGCCAACCTACTCCTATACCACTGAACATAGCACGTCGAGGCAGTCGGTCGTTGGACATACGTAACACGTGTCCCAGCCATCTCAACTGATGAAGTTTCACTACTTCATCAATTGATTTGCCATCCTTACCTAGTACCCGTTTCCTAACAACTGTGTTACTTACTCGATGGTCCCAGGATATACGAGCAATGTTTCGAAGACACCTATGATCGAATACTGGTAACCTACGGATATCCTCTACTCTTACCGGCCATGTTTCACTGCCATAAAGAAGGACGGAACGAACTGCTGCGCAGTAAACCCGTCCTTTGGTTGATAGACGGATATCTCGCCTACGCCATAAATGACGCAAGTTGGCAAAAGCTAGTCGAGCCTTCTGTATCCGTGCTGAGATTTCGTCACAAACCAGACCACAAGGGCTGATGAGACTTCCAAGATAAGTGAAGCGGTCGACACACTCAACTACTTCACTCCCTATCACTAGTTCGGGTGTCGATGTAACCCAATCCTGAAGCAACATTTTGCATTTCGAGGGAGAGAATCGCATCCCGAACATGCTTGCATTGTTGCTTAGAGTGGTCAGAAGACTCTGCATTTTGTCAGCGTCTTCACCAAATAAAACTATGTCATCTGCATATTCTAAGTCAACAAGTGAACCTCCCGGTAGAAGTTCAACCCCTGGAAATCTAGACGAGGAAAGTGTTTTCTCTAAAAGTATGTCGACCACAAGTTGAACAAGAATGGGGAGAGTGGACAGCCCTGACGAACACCACTTGAGGTAATCAATTCTGATGACAGTTCGCCATAAGCTCTCACTCTACCAGTTGTGTTCGAGTAGAGAGCCTATATAAGGTTAATGTACTTCTTTGGTACTCCTTTCAGTGACAAACACTGCCATAGAACCTCACGATCAACAGAGTCGAATGCCGCCTTAAGGTCGAGAAATACTACCATTGTGGGGCGTCTGAATGTGTGTCTGTGTTCTAGAACCTGACGTAGTGTGAATATCTGATCTATACAACCACGTCCAGGTCGAAAACCGGCCTGGTTTTCTCTAATCTGCTCTTCACGAGCTTTGATTAGGCGTCGAAGTACTATTGAAGCTAATATTTTAGACACTATATTAGTCAAACTGATTCCTCTGTGATTGTCACAGGAGGACTTTTGTCCTTTCTTATAGACTGGCACAATCAGTGATTGAGACCAGTCAGATGAGATTACGTCCAGTTCCCAAATTCTACCTAAGACCTCGGTTAATCTCATTGCTAATACTGGACCACCATCCTTAAAAATTTCAGGAGTAAACCTGTCAGAGCATGCTGCTCTCCCTCGTTTCAGATTTCCTATGGCTTTTTCAACTTCGTAAAGGGACGGAGGACCTACATTAACTTGCCATTCAGGTTGACTAGAGATCGTGGGAAACCGAAGTGTGGCTGAAGGCCAGTTGAACTGACCCCTAAAGTGTTCTGCCCATCGATCCAATCTCCTGGATTGAGAATGAATAATATGTCCATCTTTCTCTGAGATTGTTTCGCTAACGGTCGGGTTCCTAATTCCGGTTTCCTTAACGAGTCTGAACAATTGTCTGCTATTACCTATTGCCGTTGCCTTTTCCATCTCTCTTGCTTTCGCTACCCACCACTGTTCGCGATCATTGCGTTCAGAGCCAGGTGGAATGAGTTTCCGAGCATCTATCAGTGCGATAGATGCTGCTGAGATCCAGTGTTGCTCCCTAACCTTGTGGTTTACCTTACTAACAGATATCACTGCTGTTTCTACAGCTTTTCGGATATCATTCTATGCTGCCTCAGGATGGACATCACATACATGGCTGCCTAACTGTTTTCCTAGTTGTTCCTGAAATATACTCTTAGCTTGACTATCATTAAGTAGGCCACTAAGAGGTTTCCTTGCAGCGTCTTTCCTACGTCCAGTAAGACGCAAGCAAATACGCGCTCGCACTAAAGCATGATCTGAATCTAGGCATGTGCTCCAGAATGCGCGACAGTCTTCTACCGAGCCCCTCCATCGGTGGCTGATCTATTTGGGTCCAACGTTGGGACGAATTAGGGGGTCGCCATGTTAAAAGATGTTTTTCCTTATGCTTAAAGTTAGTATTTGCAAGGAACAGGCGGTTATCTGAGCATAGCTGCAACAGACGGTCGCCATTATCTGTTCTTTGAGCCACGACACCATAAGATCCACCTAGGTGTCTTTCCCTATCGCTTAGTTTACCTACTTGAGCATTAAAGTCACCGGCCACTATTACTACATCCGAGCGCTTAGCTTTTCGGAGAAGGTCCGAAAGCTTTCTGTAAAACTCATCTTTTAAATCATCTGAGCTGCAGTCAGTGGGAGAATAGGCAGAGACGTCGAAGAGGCAACGACGAGTGTCCCTATCTTTTCGGATCCTCATTGTTCCATTCAGTCGGACAGCGCACAAACGACTGTCTACTGGGATCCACTTTAAGAGAGCTAGTTCTGCCCTAGGACTCAATGCTATACCTACGCCGGCGAGGCCACGGGAAGCAGAATCAGGGCTTCCAGATATACGAAGCGTAAATCGAGTCGGTTCTTTATTTTGGCATGGTGAGGTCAAATGAATGACGCTACTTGGATCCTGTATGCGCGTTTCGGAGACGCAGCACACATCGATGGCGCGAGATTCTAAAGTTTTATCTAAGGAAGCCTGCTGTCCTATTTGGCACAGTGTTCGTACATTAAAAGCTCCTACGTGTAGTTTAGAGCGTGGTTTCAGGAGACGAGGAATAGCGTTCCGCGTACTCGAATCGTTTGCCCTAGCAGTGCGAGGTGATAAAAGGACGTGAGAAGGGTTAGTCGGGGAGATAAGAGTGGTATTAAGAGGTGTAGGAAGGATTTGAATGTGACCAACTTGGTCTCGTGTGTTGTTACGGGTGTGAGGGCTGGTGTCACTTCGCGGCTGCCCACACCGTGGAAGGGTATTTCTTGAGGAACCTGAAATAGAAGTCGGATTAGTGTTGGTCTTAACGACCTGGGGGCGTGACCGCAGAGCCCAAGGGACAACTGATTGAGGCCGGTCGCGCACGGCCTTTTCGTGGAAGTTTTTTAATGTATCAGCTCTGTTCTTCAAAGGGCCTTACCGCCGGAGACGGAAATCCGTGAGGTAAGGTGAGGTGTGACATTTTTAGGGTCGACCTTTTCTAACCCCACCCCTCCTTGTGGGAAGGCAGCATCGCTGTCATGCTGGTTGTCCGAGGGAAACACCTTACTGCTGTCACACATCTGTACAGTCAGCAGTACGACTTCGCCCTCAGGTCGTGAGTTGCTGCTTTTAGTCTTACCGTTCTCCAATCGACCTGCCTGGCATGGTAGAACCTACAGGAACATATGTTCCAGCCAATATAGCTCGGTTGGGTCATCACGATAGGCAAGCCCGACCACCGCGTCAAGGTAGCAGCTTCAGTCGGGTCGGACAGAAATAATTAGACCAGTCAATTACTATACTATGTTTCATGACCTTTTACAACAAATAGAGTATTGTCTCATTAAAATTAATGATAAGGATTGAGGCTTCATAATGTTAATTTATTTTCGATTAGAAAATGTTTTAAACGATACGATTTATGTGTCATCATAATGCTCAGTAAAGGGTTGCCTTCAGAACTAGTGGATGAGGAAAAAACTAAATTCAATTACCTTTTCCGTTCAATTTCAAAAATGTTTACAGAATACTACATCACATCTGTAAATCTAATTAGACTGACATAGTTACTGTTCACATATTTCATGATAAGTCTTCGATTACCAGCTTCTTTTAAACATGTGGTCAGAGCCATGTACAATTGTAATTAAAAAATAGAGAAAGACGATTGTAACTGCACGATTAGTGTATGTAGACTTAAACGCTATTCAGTTCAAGTAAATGACAACAACACACTATAAAAGTCAGTTAGATTTCTCGAGTCTATTTAAACTAAATAGTTAAATAATAGAACACAATGACTGCATATAAGTGAGTGTATAAGATAGTCTATTGTTCGGGAACTGAAGACACTAAGAATCATCTAGACTTTTGAAATGGGATAGAACTAGAATTTATAAGTTGACTTGTCTAATATTTAAGAATAAACGTCATTTATAGAAAATAGAGGAAAAGCATCATGTTTATTTAGTTGAATTAGAGTTAGACAAGTGTATAAAGCTTGATCATGCATTTAAAAAGTCAAACGTTACCTAACGATAAACCTGGTTAAAATTGGATTTCAGCCAAAAACGAAAGGAAAACAAAAACTGAAGAAAGGAACCAAGAGAAAATCTGGGAAGGCTAAACGCAAAGGTCGGTCATCTCGGCAGAAAAAGCCTAAACATGAAATTGATATTATGAGCCTATGTGCCATGGAAAACTTGTACTACATCGCGCACAATGCACCATGTGCATTGATGTATCGTGGTTTTCGTTGGTCAAGGTTAAAGCCAAAACGAGGTAAGGGTAAGCGGAAAGGGAGAAAGAAGAGAAAAAAATAATTATCTTGATGTACCACTCAACACCATAGAAGATGCTTCCACTGAGATGTTATCCTTTATTTATTTACTTATTTATTTATATTCACAGATAATTTCTGTTGTTTATGACATTTATTTCATAGCTTTTTCCATAGCATGTGCAAATAAAATTGTTACTAAGACTTATTTATGCTTTTTAACTATTGCAAGAAATCCAAATAAAGGCCTTTAAGCCTACAAACTTGAATATCAAGGGGCACTAATATTTTTACAGTCAAAAACATGCACACAGCCGGACTAGCAATCATGAAAAGTTTAAAATCGGTATTGTCTTCACTAAGATAGAAATAATCCAAATATTGATTTATGAATCACCTAGTTAAATGATATAAAACTCTAGACCGAATGTTAAATTTTCGTAGAGTAAGTGATATGCAACTAAATTCTATTCACTATTTCGACAAAAGTGATCATGGTGTATTTTTTTTCAAAGCAATCAAAAGATGAATTATAGACTGAGCATACGTAGGTTGTCCAAAGTATACTATTCAATTAGTTCAGTTGTACGAAACAAATCTGATTTCCGTTGATAAATCGAAGATGGTATGATTGCTTTTTCACGCACCTGACAGCTGAATAATTGAAATATGTAACATAACACAGTGCTGAACTTCACCAATTTCCTTATTCTTAGTTCACAGTATTCCGCATAGATGAGTAACATCAACGAGTCAAACTGGAACTTACTCTGTATAACACAATAATATAATATGAATTTCCAGAACCTGAAAATCAATACGATGAGGATAACAGCACGTATTCCCTAAAACTCTGCTGTTAATGGAATGAAACAAAAGTTTTTTAGACAATTAGACGGAATCAAGATATCAAAAATATAAAACGAGAAGTATCGCGAAACTTTCAAAAAGAACAGGTAAAATGAGGCAAAGCTAAAAATTTTCTATTCAAAAATCTAGTGAAATAGAAAGTGTGAAGGTAATCCAGCTCCGTTTTGATAAAGCTCTTAAGTCATAATAATCCCGGTTTTCTAAAACAGTTAATCGAACCATTTAGTATTCCGTAGTGATAGACTAATAAAAATTCCCGTCTAACATTTAGTCGAAAACTGGAAGTCAACCTAACGACAGAATAAATTATGCAACAAGGAAACAATGACATAGTTTTAATGAGTAGAAGACTGAAGTTCTGAAATTTTATAAGCCGCCTGTTCTGTCATAGCTTTTCTGTAGGGAAGTCATTTGATTCGTACGTTAATCGACTGCTGATACGACTAGTGAGCCTAGATTTGATTGAGATTTTGTCGTTTTAAAAAGAAATTATGTATTCTTCAGTCTTTGTAAGAACAGCCAGTTCGTTTTTACTGCATTGTTGAAAATCGCAACGATCGGAACCAATCCTCACCGTATAAAGTTCAAAGCTACTCAGTGTGAAGAGTACATGTAACTCAGAATATCACTGTCGATCACCAGTCATTGTACTACTCTGCTAATATTCTGTTAAATTGAATGTTTAAAGTCCATATGCTTCATCGATTTATGTTTAAAAACCTAAATGCAAATTAAGGTCAACAATAAAAGTGAAAGGAATTATTGTTATTGTTTTGCTAACAGATAAAATGAAATGAAAAATTTGCACTATAGACCAATTCAATCGCCAAATAACTAATGACAAAAGCAGTATGAAGGCAATATTTTAATTGAATAACTGAAAACAGATTAATTTACAAAATATGAATGCAAAAAGAAGCTTATTAATTATACATAAATTTCCACAAGTGTTAGAGATTCTCTCAAAGTTTTACGTTAGTAACGATATTTGTGGAAGATGAAGTCCAAATGGAGAAGCGATTAAACTTAACCACATAATCATGTATTTCACCGGATCATTAAGTTGAGTAGGCTGCGAATAAAATACTTCCTTCATGAGATCAGCAGTTTTACAAGGATGGAACTCATAAAACGGAATTCCGAGGCGTGGATGTTCGATTTCACTAAGGGCATGTAGGGATAGTGGTACTTCAGAAAGAGGAAACACAGATGAACGGAAATTTTCACTCCACAGTTTGTCATGATGTAATGAACGGCCACTTTTTGTCTGGAAACGCATTAAAAGAACAGGCACTTGATAACTATGGCTGAAAACTATACGATACTCTGCTAAAATTTCACCCGACAATAAAGATTCACTTGTTAATAAACAGCTGGTATTTGATTTGCCAAGTAGTATTGGCTTTCTGTAGACCATTTCCAATTCGTCCGGATATCCAACAAACTCATCAATAAACCATTCATCACCACTGTCACTATCACAGATTAAATTGTTTTTTAAGGTTTGAATAGCATCTTTATATGCTATTAATGTGAGTTGGCCACTTTGATGATTCCTAAAAAACAAGGAACATGAAAATTGATGGTTAGCTTCTCTGACTAAAACAAATGGGTTGAAATACTTAACTTTGCAAATGGAATTAACTTGCGTAAAAAATTGTAGAATCCACAAGAACATTAAACATAAGCGTAGAAAAAGAATAAGTGTATTAGCATCATTTTTACTAATTTCAAAGAATGTTTTGCACAGTTCTTAACCAGTAGTTTCTAATTTTTCTGCAACACTACCAAGAAGCTTCAATTTTATTAAGAGATTAAGACCCAATCTCAGTTATTTTGAAGAATACTGTCACGTCCTTTTCTAATCTTTCTTTTTCAAACTACTAATTTAGCCAACATTTGTGAGAATCAGTAAGTTGCGAATCACAACGTGTAGCCTGTAGTCCAGCCACTTCAGTATATTCAACTTTGTAACCTAACCAAGTGAAAATTTCTCTGCCAAAGACTATACATCTGGCTAATTTATTGATATTTTTCGAACTCTTGAAGCTTTTGGTTAACTCAAAGTATGGTGTGTCAACTAGCCACCATTACTTTCAAAAAATAATGATCTTCATTTTCTCATTGATGACTATCCTAAAACTTTGTGTGCACCTGGGTAGCTTGTGATTGCTGGTGGTGGGGTGCTTATTTACGATCAATCTCTAATTAAAGAAATCCCGAGGGAGTTAAGCTTTCCTAGATCCTTTTTGTTGCTTTTGTGAAGTTGATCTGCGTGTAAAAACTCAGCTATACGATGTCAGTAAAATAAAAACTACTACATCACACAATCACCGACAGCCTGGCTTAGTGAGAAACAATAGCATGACTTTATGAGGGTTAAAAGGTAGAAAATGGTATTTTTCTCAAATAAGTCAGACTGAAGTTAGTCGCGGCTTAGACAACTCAGTGGTAACGTTTCTGACTGTGAATCTAGGTGACACGGGATCGAATCCATCAGTTCCCTCAAGGTATATCTTGCTGACAAGTGCCATGTGGCACAAAATGTAGGTCCGGGGTTTCCAGTTGACTACCTCCAACTACCATCCTATCTCAACATAGTGCACGCAATGTCGATTCACCTAAACTGGTCGACAGGATTCGATATGCACTAAGAGGGACCTGACATACATGACGTTGATTACCACCCAGTGATCAATCAACTGTAAACAGTTCGACTTATTGCTAACTAGCACATAGATTGTTGTGCATACACAAAGTACCTGTTATTTACAAGTATTGATACATAAGAAAAATAGCCCAGAAGCTACCTACGGGTAATTTGCTGATTCGCCAACCACAGTGTGCTGATCATTCCAAAAGTACTTGTAAAAGTGAGATACTCCAAAAAACCGTTTCACTGAAAAGCTTGCTCCATTTATATTTCAATTAAAATGTCGTATATCACAAATTTGGCGAATAGCAAATTACAAAACGGGACAGAAAATATGTTGCACAATTCTTCAGTGAAAAGATGGTCGTGATTTTTTTAAAAAGGGTTTATCCAATATATGCCCTAGATGGAATAAAGACACGCAACCTATTTATTCTTACTGTTCAAAACGAATCCTTTTTACTTTCGCACCGACATTTTGCAAAAAGCATGATAGTTGGAGGTAGTCAACTGGAAACCCTGGACCTAGGTTTTGTGCCACATGACAATTCTACAATGCGGGAGACGGTTTAATTGTTTGTTTATCAAAACAGAGCGACATATGGCTTAAGAGATTTCTCATACACGAAGTCTCCAGACTAAAATCTGGTTTTTATGAGCAAGGCGTTTCCCGTAACCACAATAAAATACTACCACCATATGAATGGCAGCTTTTTAACACGGTCAACTATACTTTTTGGTAGTATAATAACTTCACTGAGATTTAACTTATGTTAATGTGTGATTTATATGATAAGATGACATATTTGTGGGCACTGAAACTTAGGATTAGTTCGAAACACTATTAAGATAAGAATATTTACTCGAACAGTGAGACCTATGTATGAACCAACAAAATTGTGTACCATTTATTTACCTAATATTACCATGGAAATGGTTTTGTAAGCCTTACATATGCGCTTCAAAAAGGTCATTTAGTGTTGTTGTCGAGTCGATAAAAAATGAAAGTTGGCAGAGGGTAAACAATCGGAGAAGCGGTCAGCAGAAGGTAAGGTGGGACTACACGTCCCAAACTTACTTTTCCTAGTATTTAGGTATTAGCAAAGTAGTACTAAGAATTGTTTTCTTAATCATCTTTAGGTCAGATCTGTGCCCTAGAAACATTCAAATATCCAGATAAGTAAAGACTAGATGTTCATTTATTCTATATGATCAGTCTCAAGACTGTGACCAGGTAAATAGTATGTAGTGAGCTCAGTTAGCAACAGATATTCCAATTAGTGAAAGTTATTTTAAGAACTTCGAGCCGAGAAATCGAAAATGATAATAGTAGACACTGTAAGTATTTATTTTGCACCGTACTGACGCAGTTGGTTTCAAAGAAATACAGAATTTACCACGATCACTAGTTTGATTACGATATTTAAATGATTGGCACTAAAATAAACATGAGCAGGAATTTTGCATGGCAAACTAAAAAACGGAGAATGAATGTCAGCAGTGAGCAATCAACACGGAGGTGGAAGACAGTAAAGGAATGAAAGAGAGTAGATATTAGACACGGTGAAAGATAGGTAGGACATCAAGACAAAAAAAGGAGTTTCAGTACATACATATCACTGACTCCAGAATTCTACCGATATAGGTAATTTGAACTACATCATCACTCATACTCTTGTAAGAGTATGTCTGCAGAACCTACAGAATGGTAACAAATCAACACATGAAATGTGTGAGAACTGATTAGACAACCTGTGCCCCAGTTGTGGAATGACGAAACTAATGGTGAAGAGTTACATCTAGCGAATTTGCTCTGAAATTACACATAAATTGGTAACTACATTCAGCCCACATAACTAGTATTTGAAGGTATGGGATTTTCGCCATTTTTCTCTGAAAAACTAACTATACTCGAAAGTAGGACGGGTCTAATTGTGGACAAGGATGAGGATTAAACAATGTGTTATAGGGTGTATAAAAGAATCGAATTCTTTGGTAGCACATAGCACACTGGGTGTTGTGGTAATATCCGGTTGCTCGAACAGAACTATGTGAAGTGGAGTATGAAATCTAGTACTTTTTCTTGGCTTCTCCACTAGTCACAAGTGAGGAGAATGGGACAAAATGTACAATAAAGGTATGAGGCAGTTAGACAAACTGTTCAAAGAGATGTTGAGTTTCCCTTTAAAAGTGAGCTTCAAAACAATGTTTCTTCAAATATTGATAAGGCTGGTCAATCAATGCGAGCTAAATATGAATGTGTTCATCGTCCCAAAGTACACATCAAAACAACCTGTCGTCTACCGGTGGAGTGAGCGGGAGATTTACTCAAGGAATTGCTGCCGACTGACCGTATTATAAATATTTCAATCCAGGAAGGCAACTATATCAGTACTGAAACCACCACTAGCTATCTAAGGATTAGTTTTCAGAGCTAATGTTGCCATTTTCAACTGATGTACAGCTTAAAGTTCGAAGTAAGATTCATTGTTATGATTTATGATTAGAACCTAGTATAAGGATTTAGAACTAAGGATTTATAGTTAGAACTAGGCTTTAGGATGAGAGTATATGATTAAGACTCGAACTAGAGGTTGAATTAAGCGCTCTCTAAGTCATAAACCCGATATATTAATTTTAAATCTAGGTCTAACCTTAAATCACGAACTCTAGATGTCCAAGGTCAGTCGTACTCATATCATAATGCTAAGTACTGATTCTATAACCTAAATCCTAGTCTCAGCATCATATGCAGTCCGTCAGTGTTTGTTGTTTAATGACTGACCAAATGGGTAAAGAAATTTTGTAAGTTATTCGAAAGGAGCTCAGTATTTGAGGAGATTTAAATTTACTAAATGCTGCCCCGATCTCCCAATTTTGGGGGAAACGTTTTACCCATTTGGAGGAAGCCTCTATAGAACCTTTTGGAGAAATGGCACCAAAACCCAGAAATTTCCCCATATCTGCGGAAATTCCCAAAATTTCCCTTTAACCTTGGTGAAGGTCTCTTGACTTTGTAGGTTTCCCCCAAATTTCCCAAACTTGAGAGATTGGGTGATTTTAACCAAACACAATCTTATGATTCTAGAGTTTCTTATCACGAAAGGACCGCCTTATTCCTATATTGATGACACAAAGATTTCTTTCACAATAGTAGGTAAGCAGTGTGGCGCAAATTCGCACCGTGTTGGACAGATATAAGCTCTCTTCTACGACGGATATCCTGTTTCGTCGGTCATAAGATGAGGCAGTTTTTCAATTCGACTGATCATGAGTCACAATTGATATGATTCTTACATTCGGAGTGCGATATTTCAATATACTCAAGACCCAGATATCTCTGCCATGACCTTGAAGTCACAAAAGCCTCCGCGTAGAATCTGTCTTCAGTATCGAGTTATAAGGATAGTAGGTTGATGAACCTGTGTTAACCTTAACAGATTGCCTTCGAGTGAGAGTCTAGCTTCTCCTTGAAAATATTCACTGATAGTGCTGATGCCACTTTTTCGTGTAAGTCGTTTCAATCATTGACTACTCGATGAGGAAAATGGGATCTCGCTTTAAGTTTATTAGATCGCGGTTTGCTATGACCTCTGAGATTATTATTGCCGGACGGAGCGAAAAGAAAAGACATATTAACACCGAAACCATAACTAAGGGTACCAAATGCCAGTATAATGTCACCTCACATCCTACCATACGACAAGGGGAAAAGGTTCAGGCGTTTTATACGCTCATCATACGGAAGTTTAAAAAGGCTCTTCATTAATCTTGTTCTCGTGCGCTGAACACGCTCAAGTGAGTTGGTATCTTTTATCAGACGTGGGCTAGCTGCTTGGATACAATACTCTAAATGTGGTCTTACATCGATGGGATAAAAAAAAGTTGAAACATTTCCTCGTCAAAGCATTTGAACGCTCGGCAAAGTGACTATAACGCACGAAAACCTTTGACAGCGGCTATGTTGCAATGCGTCGTTGTCTTCAGGTCATGACCTATTATTACTCTAAAGCCTTTATGTTCTTAAACGTGTGGAAGAGATGTACCACCAATAGCATAATAGTAAGTATTACCATGTCCGATGTGCATGACAACACTCTACATAGAATTAACTTCCAAGCCACAACCTCTAGCCCATCTAAGTCAGCTTGGAGATCAAAACTACCAGCCTCAATTATTATTGTTCTCTAGATTTTTGCATCATCCGCAATTAATAATGTCGGCGACTTAAGCAACAGCGGTAATTAATTAACGTAGAGAAGGAAGATTAGAAGGCCTAAGACGGTGCCTTGGGGTACACCACTTTTGACCGGTTTGGTAGTCAATAACTGCAACGGCCACAAAAACTTGGCTTTAACTCAAAAACGCTGTAGTAAGTTTTAGTTTGAGGTTGCAGAGGTTGTTGAATTTAATTAAACTTATGGACCTCTCAGCGCTAGACCAACATTGAAAACCTGGAAATACTGGACGATCGTTTCGTCATGTTATGAGCACCTCAGCGGATGCCAATGGAAAATGCAGGATTTACAGCAGTACGCCTGTACGAACATAAGCTTAATCAACAATCAGCTGTTATTCCGTTCTCTCCAGAAGATAAAGCCTAATTGCATCTCCTGTTATAACCACTTCTTTCGTACATTCCATCACTGTTCTTACTAGGCCATCTCCATTCATCTAGCACCTATGAACCGGTTCTAGAAGCCATGATCCATAAGTAGTAAATTCGTTGGCTGAACGTTTATACACTTGTTCCTGTCTAAAAAGTAGACTTCAAAGTCTGGCCAACCCACTTCTGTTTCCATGTTCAACGACAGTCGTCATAGTTTTCGATGATAAACTTAAGAGTTATAAAGCATCTTACTTGACGACAGTCATACCTGAAACATTGTATAAAAGGGCATATCCACAAAATTCCATTTTCCAGTCTTAAGACGTTTGAGTATTAGACCCATAAACACCTTTCTTATGGATGACTTCATGAACTTATAACGACTTTCACCTAACTGCTCAATGAAAACACACTGGAGTCTCATGAATTTATGCAACAATCGATTATAGCAATCCTGGTAACCCTCAATATTACACATTAAACGAACTTCACAATGTCCTTGTCTGCAGTCCTCCTAAAAACAAGGAAAACAAAGGGCATTCTCCCTTTCGTTACACTACCTATCACTAACTGATAAATCTAGGGACCGAAAACAGTTTTCTGTTGAATGGTTCTCCGCGTATATTACGCATTTTGGCTTTATATCGATTGTATTTCACGACTGCTGTCACGTGGAGCAAACGTTCTTGTTCAAGGTCCATGCACTACCTAGTGAAATCTGTCCAAATCTACTGGGTAACATTCTTACACTAGACGATACGAATTCTGTTAGCTTAGTAAATGTGGGATCCCGGACATTCGCTATCACCCTCTTGATTATCTTGGTCCATTTAATCTGTAACGTTGGAAGCGACTTCTTTACTGTGCTCTTTGGAGTTTCAAGAGAGTTTAGGCAAGTCGAATATTCCATTTGTTCCGGGGTTATAAAATAACTTTCCTTTTCATTGCTAGTTTATACAAGGTTTTCGTGTCGCTACATTCTGTACTAGAGCCTTCAATCAAATCTTTTAACGAGGCTTGGTTAACTTGATTTGTCCTGCCAAATAACCGCTTCATTATGTCGCATGCCCTATGATAACTAAATGATAGTGAAAGAACTACGAAATCCTCCATAGTATCTCAAGCCTTCGCTTACAACAAGGTATCAAGAATAAAGTCCGCTGATCATAATTTTCAATGCTGGACACAACATGCATCTCAAACTGTCTCATAAACTTACAGTACTCTGCTGGCTGGCCATCAAAACTACATAGTTCTAGCTTAGAAAGCTCGAGCCCCTCATTAAGAGATGACTGTGTAACTTTTCCCTTCCATTTTCCTGAGTAATTTAACATTTGTTGTTTCAAATGTTGTTAGCTTAACTCTGGGGTTATAATGAGAATGGCTAACGAAACGGTGAATATGTTTCAGATGTATATTATCGCAATGCAAGGCAGAAGTTGCTTCAGCATTCGTATCCTCTTCTAGCTTTAAGGACCAAAACTCTCTCTGAAGGCGCAGTAGTTGTTTTCCATGTTTATCACTGAACTTTCAAACTTTTACATGTATCTGTCCGTTAATTGCGTTTCAATTCAGCCAAAGCCATACTAGAACTAACTTTAATATGTCGACTATCCTCACTAATTCAGGAGCCGTGACATGAAAGTGTATCAAAAGGGATTTGCAAATATCTGGGAGTGTGTCTGCCTCCATTTTTTCTTGGTTTAACATTAACTTTACGACGGACTTCTTGGTGTACTTACCATGCGTCTCAAATATTTTTCAAATGATTACTGTTAGTGTGAGAACCGTGATACTCGTGATTCCAGTATTTAATCTGAACGCAGAGCCAACTAAACAAGATTTGTTTGGTTAGGCCAAGTTAGGATTTTGTAAGACGTACGAAGAATTTTTGAGTGACTCATCAAATTGTATCAAAATTCAAACTCTGTGCTCAACTGAAATTTTTCTAATTTGAGATAAAAATAAATTATATCAAAGTACAAAATACGTCAGACGATATATCCCGTACTATATGGTCAAAGGCTTCTTTATGATAAAACAGCGTGCTGAGCAGCTATAGAAATAGTAAACAAACAAGCACACAGTACCTGGTAATCAATAACGACATGCCCAGCATCTCTGGATCAAACGTCTATCCACAAGGATACGAACAAACATATGTGGCAGACAATCAAAGGTCATCAATCAATAACACCTCACTCTTGAATTTACTTAAACACGACTGAATTGTTGATAGCCTACGAACGTGCAAGAGTAATAAATTCAAATACCTAATCAATATTAAATAATAAAAGTGCAGAAAAAGATGATTGAGAAACGTTGTAAGAGACCTGGGTAAAAGTTGAAACACAAGGAAAAATGGGATAAAAATAGTGCTTCACTCAACATTTCAGAGGAATTTCCCGAGTATTTTCCCCGTCACTCAGAGTGCTCTATCGATTCTGTAAACCCGTGAAAGGATCGGATTTTAACCACCCGACCTTTGAAGCGGATAATATAATTACAGAAAAGATTTATATCCAACAACCAACGCAAAGAAAAAGTTACCAATGGAGAACGCGGAACACATTAATTCAATAAATCAGAAGTCATGGCTGTTATATCCGAGCGGAGATTAATCACGAGTAACTTCTGAGACATTAATTGACTAATATATATTCTTATGGTGTAACTATTCAACAACTAGATTGTGTATTTTTATATTCCTCTTATTATAAGCTTTATGGTGACTTTTGATTTACTATTGTACGATTTACGGTTCTTAAGCTATGTTCATTTTATTGACTACTGCCTCCCACGCTTACAGCCACACTTGGCCAAATATTGTGTATACATGTTATTTTCTATTTAACGGCGGGTTGTGATCTGTCTGGTTGATATACAAACCGAGTATGTCTGAAATTAACGATTCGACTCATATTGCAAAAGCCGGTATTGAATTCTGGACTCAAGTGGACGGGCTAAGAAGACATAGGACAAATAAGGACGCTAGACTGCTCATACCTGTTGCACGTCATTGGTTTGGCACAGTGTTAAGTTTGTATAAGTCGTACTTTGATTGGTAGAGAAACCACGTGATAAAAAGCCGGACATAAAGTCATAACAATGGCCCATTCTCTCAGGTGTAGTCAGTATGTATGACTTGTCCTTACTCACGTTAAATGCATTATTCGATCTTTAACACAATTTTGTTCTTTACGTCATGTTGCTGATTTCTACGATACAACGAGTCAGAATAGATAACTTTCAAGCAAGATCTGATCGACTAGGCAGTCAGATTAGTACATATCTACAATTTTAGGATTAGGTCTATTACCATGATAACGAAGTAGACCACAATTCTACAAACTCAAATGAATTACACAACAACCAATTACATTAAACTAAAGAGGCATCGTAATTATTGTTATTATTATTATTACTCGCGTATAATTACCCACTTAACTCACGTTAGTGAATAACGGAACTAAAGAAACCAAATACGAGGACGGGTTTTTAATATGTATCTTTCATGCACTCAGTGATTTAAACATGCAATCAGAGAGACTGGACAAAGGGGGAAAAAGAAGCAAACTTTAAAAGAGAAGTGAGCCAACTCGACTTAATCAAACGTTATTCAATATTTATAGCCAGTTAAAAATAGATGAGTAGGATAAGATGTGCACATACATACGCTCATCTAAAAGCAGTCCGAATAAATAAGCCAATAAGTGGAAATGTTAAGATGTGGTTTAAGAAGAATAGATAGATTGACTTGTCCGGAAGCTAGAATAAACTATGTGGGT